GGGGGGGGCGAAGTGGGAAGAAGCAGGCCTTCTCAGAAGATCAGAGGAGGAAAAGGTACCCATACCACAACCCTTCGCCCGTTTCCCATGTTTGGGCCTCCTCGGAGGCCTCGTCCGCCACCGTTGGGTTCGCCTCGAAGTCTGTCAGAACGCAAACCCCAGGAGAGGTATCCGTGATTAAGCGGTATCAGTACTTCTCAGAAGCCCTCGGGCCTTTGATGAGTCGTCTTTTTCCCCCCCCCCCCCCCTTTTTTAGTCGTCTGTGTCATCGGGGCCCGTTGCCAATCCACGACTCCGATCAACGATTCAGGCGGGAACATCCGAACCCCAGCCTCGCCGATCAACGGTTCAGGCAACTCGATCGGCGGCGGGGGCAGGGTTTGGAATTCGTCGAGCGCGCGGCGAAATCCGAACCCTACCCCCGCCTTCAATCGATTCAGGAGAATCCAATCGATTCCGGAGAATCGATTGTTGGCAGGAGAATCGATTGTTGATGGGTGTAGGGGCCGGATTTCGACACCCAGTGTGCCAACGGTGGCGTTACTCATGCTTGCAGAAACGCATGCAACAACATGTGCCTGCATCTAGCTTTGTTTGTTTTGCTCATTTCATGTGTGTTCGAATCAAGTAAGACATGCGGAAGCCTTTTGAATCCCATCGGTTCCCCAGGCAGTGCTTGCACTGAGTGGTTCCCCTCTTGCGTTTCTATTGAATGGGAATCCCGAGGATTCGGCACGTTCCTGCTTGTTGCCGCCCCGTTGCTGCTTGTTGCCGCCTGCGAGGGTGCCCTGGGGATTCGCCACGTTACAGCCCGTTGCTGGCCTTTGCCGCTAGAAGGGGGTCTCCCGAGGATTCCTCACTTTCCTGCCAGTTGCCACCCGCTGCTACCGTGAGGGAATGTCAAGAGGATTCGCCGCGTTCGAGCCCGTTGCCGCCCGTTGCCGTCTCTGGGGGTGTCCCGAGGATTCGCCGTGTTCGGAGGGGGGCCTGAAGATGCGCACGGGCCGGAGTACAGTAACTCATTGTCCAGGTTCCACACTGGCAAAGATTGTTGATTTGAATTTGCATAAAGTCAGCGCCTGTTGTATCTTCCATTGTTTGAAAAGGTCGTCGAACCACGGGAAAACCGCATGCAGTGTTTTTTGAGCATGGTCGAATTATTATCATGCGCACCGTTGCGGCGCCTGCGGCAGGCTTGCGATTGACTTTTGTGTCGGGCAGCAAGAGTCGAAGCGGGGCGGCGTTTTTTGAATGTGTCCATTTGTTCAAGTTGAGCGCCTGCGGCTGGCTTTGCGTCAAGTCGTCGCCCGTCTTTCCGAGGGGGGGCCCAGCCTGGGGCAGGCCCGCGGTGTCACGTGCGCACGGGGTGGGGGGGGCGCGCCCACTCGCCCCGAGGCGTCTTCCAAGCCGCACCGTACCTCGACGAACCCAGACCGGCCCATCATTTGTGTCCTCATCTGCAGGGGGTTGGGTATGTCTGTCCGCTTGTACATTGTCGTGCCCGCCGATCTCACCTCGTCCCTGGCCAGCTCTTCTCCTTGTTCGCGTGCACTTCTCCCTCTCCTCCGCCCATCATCACCCTTCCCCCCTTGTCTCCACTGTCTCGTCGTCCTCCTCTTTCCCCTCCTCCTCCTTCTCCTCCTCTTTCTCCTCCTCCTCGTCCTCCTCCTTCTCGTCCTCCTCCTCCTCCTCATCATCACCATCACAAAACACATCAACATCACGATCAGCATGATGATCATCATCATCATCATCATCATCATCATCATCAGCATCAGCATCATCATCATCATCATCATCATCATCATCATCATCATCATCATCATCATCATCATCATCATCATCATTCGCATCATCATCATCATTATCATCATCATCATCATCATCATCATCATCATCATCATCATCATCATCGTCATCATCATCATCATCATTCGCATCATCATCATCATCATCAGCAGCAGCATCAGCATCAGCATCAGCATCATCCTCCTCATCATCATCATCATCATGATCATCATCAGCAGCAGCAGCATCATCAGCTACAGCAGCAGCAACAACATCATCACTTGTCTATTCTTCCTGTGCCGCCCCCTTCTCCCCCTCGTGCTTCTCTCCTCCCTCTCTCATGCCCCCCTCCCTCCCTCCCCCCGCATTTCCTCTCGCCCCTGGGGTTGGGCGAAGCCGGCGGGCGCTCGCCTCGACACGCGGGCGCCAGAGGGGTCCGACGCCTCCCCTGAACGAGACCTACCTTCTCGTCCGACCTGCTCCTCCTACTCCATCCCTCGCTCCCTCCCTCCCTCCCCCCTCTTCCCCTCCTCTTTTTTCCCCTCCTCCTCCCTCCTCCTCCTCTCGCCCGCCTTCTCCTGCCCCCGTCGAAGATCCCTCCTCCACCCGCCCACTCCTCGTTCGACCTGGCCCTTCGCCATTTGTCCCTCCCTCCCGTCCGCAGCGCGTCACTGTGACCCGGTTCATCGACTACGCCCCGATGGCGTTCCAGGCCAGCCTCGGGAGAGGAGGAGGATGAGGAGGAGGAGGAGGAGGAGGAGGAGGAGGAGGAGGAGGAGGTACCGGACTCTCTCGGGGGGGGGCGCCCAGGAACGGGGGCCCAAGAGGGGGAGCGCCCAAGAGAGGGGCGAGGACTAGGGGGGAGGATATCACTGGTGAGGCCATGGTATCTCCCAGATCTCACGCCCTCTCGTCTCCTTCCTCCTCCCCAAGCTTCTCCCCCTCATCCTCGTTCAACACGTCCCAATTACCCCCCCGTCCGCGCACGTCCCTCGGGCCATGATCCGCACCACCCCCCAGTCTTCCATGATCCCCCTCTTGGGTGCGCCTGGGTGTGAGAGCCCCAGATCTCCAGCGATATGAGTTGATTCAATTTAGATATTTTTCATTCGATGTCGTGCTCAGGGGCCCGCCATCGGGTTCCTGGATCATGCGATATTCATCCAGGCGGAAAACACCCCGAGGCTCGAAAGCCGCTGAGGCCCGACGAAACCGTCCCAAAACCTCGAACCTCGAACCTCGAACCTCGAACCTCGATGCGAAAAGGCCCGTCCTCGTCGCTCTTCGGTGCTGGTTTCGAAGCGGGCGGGATCGGCAGCGCACGAAGGGCCCCGCTCTGGGGGCGCGCGGGCCTCCTAGAGGTCTCGAAGCCTCGAGGGGCTCCGCGAGGTGTCGTGGGGGGGGGGGGCCACCTCTTCCTCCTCCTCCTCCTCCTTCTCCTCCTCCTCCTCCCCCCCCCTCAGCTCCCCCTCCTCCTGCTCTCCTCTGCCTCCTTCTCCTCCTCTTGCTTCTCCTCCACATCCTTCTCCCCTCCTCCTCTCTCATCCACCTCCTCCACCCGGCCCCCCCCTTGGTTTTCATCTTCGTCGCTCTCAGGGTCGGCGGCAACGGCCGTAAGGCCTTCGCAATAAATGCTGAGGAACTATCGAGCGGGAGCCATTGTTGTTGTAACTCGGGGGCCAAAGGCTCAACTTGGTGACACCACCCTGGGAAAAAAAACAAGGTGCGAACCCTGGGATAAGCACTTCAATTGAACAACCGTTACCGGGCAGGGAGGATCAAACCACTTATTCGTTATAACTGAGAAGTCATCAACAACAACACAAAACACCACCAACACCAACAGCAACAGCAACACCAACAACACGCATTATGAGACTGTTCGCTCTTATCTGCGTGCGTGCCATGCACAACGTATATCCCAAACCCTCGATACACGCCCTCTTCGTCATCAATGGTACCGCCTTGGGGGGATGACCTCCTTACCTGCAACATGTATTTCATGCAGCCCCTCGAGCAGGGGAAGAGGGGATGGATGGAAGAAAGGGACAAGGGGAGGATGGAGAACGAGAGAGCAAATAGCGTGAGGGTGGCTACGAGCAGAAAACGTGTGGCAGAACCAGACGGGCAGATTGGGCGGGTAGACCCTTACAGGCGGGTCGGGGAGGCGGGCCCAGGCGGCCAGATCGAGCACTGCATGAATCGCCAGTCTCTAGCGATAGCAAATTCCCAAGTAAATCGTGAGACGGGCCAAAGCGAGAGCGTGATTCCTGAGTGTCGAGGGCGCGGCGTCTGAATACATTGGGAAGAAATCCAACGCGAGAGCGCAATTTCTTTATAAATTGTGAGGACGTCCCGCGTGAGAGCGCGATTTGGGAATAAGCTGTGAAGATGTATCAGGCGGGAACCGTTAATTCTGAGACCCAAGACTTCCCTTGATAAAAAAAACAAGGTGCGAGACCAAGGGAGGGTTCTTCAATTCAAAAAATATAGCGTGCCCTGGAGGGGGGATCAGCACTGGCTATTTTTCAATAATCGTGAGAGGTCGACAACAACACCAACACCAAAACCAACAACAACAATAGCAATAACAAAAAAACACCAACAACACTACCACCAACAACACCACCAACAATGATCATTTTAGGGCTGTTCGCTTTTACTGGCACGCGTGCCTTGTATTCTGTACACCCCAACCCTCGATACCCACCCACTTCCTCTTGGATCGCACCCCTTTTCGGGGGAAAATTCTTCCTTGTCGGCCACTGACTGATGTGCGAGGTACTCTCGAGCGAGAATATCGTTCCTGAATTCGGGGGCCGCTCTGGCCAGACGCTCTCGGAATCCATATTGAAACATGTCGAACGGGAACCCTTGTCGCCGTGTCTGGGCGTCCACCAACTTCCCTGAATTACGATAATGTCTCGAGCGAGAGCGCCACTCTTGAGTTCGGGGGCCTCTCTGGACAGGGCCTCTGGGAATACACCTTGAGGAAGTATCGAACGAGAGCCGTTGTCGTCGTGGTTGGGCGTCAACCAGCTTGATTGAATCACGAGAATGTCTCGAGCAAGAGCGCCGTTCTTGAGTTCGGGGGGCTTTCTGGCCAGGGGCTCTCGGAATAAATCGTGAGGAAATATCGAGCAAGAACCCTTGTCGTCGTGACTGGGCCTCCGCCAACTTAATTGAATCCGGAAGAAATCTCCAGCGAGAGCGCCGTCCCTGAATTCGGGGGCCTCTCTGGCCAAAATATCTCGGGGTAAACCGTGAAGAAATATCGAGCGGGAGCCGTTGTCGTTGTAGCCGGGCCTCCAAGGGCACACTTTACAATCAAGCCCGCGCTCGAGCGGGAGACTCGTTTTCAAAGGAATTGCAGCTGGCGTCGAGGCGAGAGCACGCGGAACCGTTTCCAAGGATCAACAACAACTATTCTTTAGACATGGGTACTCAACAACAACAGCAACACCAACAATACCAACAACAACAAACAATACAAACAACAACAGCAACACCACCAACAACAACAACACCGACAACAACAACACCGCCAACAACAACAACAACAACAGCAGCAACAACAACAACAACAACAACAACAACAACAACCACAACCATACCAACCACACCACAACCAGCGGCAACAACAGGAACAGCTCAACAACACCAACAATCATTTTAAGGCTGTTCGCTCCTGCCTGCTCACGTACCTATCAATACGTATATTCCGAACCCTCGGCGCCCGCCCTCGTCGTCTTCGATCGTGCCCCGTTGGTGGCACATCTTCCTTACATGCCACGTGCATTTAGCGCAGCCCCTAAAACAATGCAAGAGAAGACGGGTGGAAGGGGAAGAAGAAGAATGGAGCACGAGAGAAAACAGCAGGAAGGGTGGAAGGAGCAAAATATAACTGGTACCCGAAGCGACCAGGTCGAGCAGGCGGGTTGCTGAAGCGCATGAATCGCGAGGAGGTCTCGAGCGATAGCGCGATTCCCAAGTCAATCGTGAGGAAAGCCAAAGCGAGAGCGTTATTCCTGAGCGCCGAAGGCGCATCGTCTGAACAAACCGCGAGGGAATTGCCACGCGAGAGCGCGTTTCGTATACAAATTGTGAGGAAATCCCGCGCGAGAGCGCGATTTGGGAATACATTGTGAGGAAGTCTCAAGCGGGAGCCGCTGTTGTTGTTAACCGGGGGCCAACAACACAGTTTGAGCCCCGTGACTTTTCCTAATAAAAAAGGGGTGCGAGCCCCGGGGGAAGCACTTCGATTGAAACAATACAATGGTCACCGGAGGGGGGGGATCAACAATAATTGTTCTTCAATAGTGAGGGTTCAACAATCTCAACAACAATCATTTTAAGGCTGTTCGCTCCTTCCTGCTCACGTGCCAATCACTACGTATATCCCGAACCCTCGGTACCCGCCCTCGTCGTCTTCAATCGTACCCCGTTGGGGGTATATCTTCCTTACCTGCTACGCACATTTAGCGCAGCCCCTAAAACAAGGGAGGAGAAGACGGGCGGAAGGGGGAGGGATAAGAATGGAGCGAGAGAGAAATTAGCAAGAGGGGGGCAAGGAGCAGAAAACAAATTGTAAAACCAGACGGGCAAATTGGGTGGGCAGACCCATAGCGGGTAGGTCGGGAAGACTGGCCCAGGCGACCAGGTCGAGCAGGCGGGTTGCTGAAGCGTGGGTCCTGCATGGATTGCGAGGAGGTCTCGAGCGATAGCGCGATTCCCAGGTCAATCGTGAGAAAAGCCAAAGCGAGAGCGTTATTCCTGAGCGCCGAAGGCGCATCGTCTGAATCAACTGCGAAGGAATTGCCATGCGAGAGCGCGTTTCGTATACAAATTCTGAGAAAGTCCCGCGCGAGAATGCGATTTGGGAATAAGCTGTGAGGAAATACAAAACGAGGGCAGCTGTTGTTGAAAACCGGGGGCCAACGACACAGCTTGAGCCCCGCGACTTGCCCTGATAAGAAAAACAGGGTGCGAGCCCTGGGGGAAGCACTTTAATTCAACAATATAGTGGTCACCAGAGGAGGGAACCAACCATACTTATTTTTCAATAATGAGTGTTCAACAACGACAGCAACAGCAACAGCAACAGCAACAACAACAGCAACAGCAACAGCAACAGCAACAACAACAACAGCAACAATCATTTTACCCGAACGCTCAGTGTTCTCCCCAGTGCCAGGGTTTTCTTGCGACACCAGCCAATACCCCCACTTCGTGGGGGGGCCGTTCAAGCTCTACCAAATATCCAAACGACTCTTCGAGACCACCCACACCCAGCTTCCCGCCCAATGACGTTGGGACACTTCACTTCGTGGCGTGCGGACGACCCTGGCTACTACACTGGCGTGGGGTACACACCCACAGAGGTTGATCACATCTGTTACATATGATGTGGTACTCGGTACACGTGAGATGGTACGCAGTGCCAAGATAGTTGGTCACATTTTTGGGGCAAATTCGTGGGGATGCGATTACAGAAGTACATGTGTTACACTGATGTTATACAGTCCCAAGGATGACGCATGCATTGCTCATAGACACATGGCGCTATGATCCTAACTCTCAGTGCCCAACGCGCGCGTGCACAGCCAGACGGAGGGAGAGAAACACATGTATACAAGGTTCGTGACATACGCACGGTCCACCATGTTGTAAACGATCGCATGCACGGTAAGTTCTGAAATTATACGTAAGTAC